ATTCGTTGAAATAACTAACCAAGATCTCATTAAGTACCTCCAGACGCTCCAGCCTGTGCTGGTCTCCATCCACCAGCTGTTTAGACAGAAGCACCCAGATCCACCTTTGGAGACACCACTAAAGACTCCCATCGAACCGGGAACTTTGGTCTTGATATGGTGTCATCATCAGGATTCCCTCGAACCCCGCTGGGAAGGACCCTTCACCGTGGTGCTCAGTACCTCCACTGCAGTCAAGGTTGCTGGAAAGACTCTGTGGATTCACCATACTCATGTGAAGCCACTAGAAACAGTGGACGACAAGGACCACACCCAATGGACGGTACAGCAAACTGGTAACCCCTTAAAGTTAAAATTGACTAGACATAGTTAGATTGCATCAGGCATGTACTGCTTCAGCTTGCTTGCCTTTGCCCCTCCTATCCCACTACTGGGGATTCCATAGCGCTGTTACTGACCTCACGTAGTGGGTTTGGACCCCCTGTAAGCCGAGAACAGCTGTTAAAATCTTTGTATGGAAGGTTTTGTGATTGTGGAGGAGGCCATTTTCGTGGTAGTGGGTCCCGCACTCGTGGGATTCAAATTGTACAGACCAGTCACACAGATTGTGGAAACAAAATAGTAATTCTTGTAGCTAGGCCTGCTGCTACAGAAGGAGAAACTCAAATGTGGGAATGCAAAGAAAAACCTCGCATGATGCCTAAAATAGGTGGCCAACCAGGGCCCTGCCCTAAAGATTGTCCTTATTATTCAGAAATGCATTCCTCCCACTATGACTCTGTGCAAGAATGTATAGGCAAAGATAGCAAAACTTACTTCACTGCTGAGCTTCTGAGGACATATATTGGGAGTGCTGGGGGCGACTGGTCTGTCAATCCGATGGTAATAGGAAATTCAAAGTATGCCCAAGCCTCATGTTGCAGCACGATTGGTAAACCAGTGTGCCAGAGCAGTGTGGCCCCAACACATGTCTCTGATGGAGGCAGTCCACAGGATAAGACCAAAGAACTCATGGTTGAAGAACGGGTTAAACAGATTATAGAGAAAATATTTCCCCCGGTGCATTATCACCCCTTGATGCTGCCTAAATCATGGGGAATTGATTTGGATGCTTAGACTTCTGATATTCTAGGAGCCACTTATAGGGCCTTAATTGCTTCCAACCCGACTTTAGCTAAAGATTGTTGGCTATGCATGGCACAAGGCTCTCCCATACCTCTTGCGATCCCCTCCAATGCTACCCTGATGCCTCCAAAGGGACCAGGTCACTTAAACTGTAGTGTTGGTCTGCCCTTCAGAGTACAACCAGTAGGGTTTAGAGATTCCCCATGTCTCCAAGGAGGTTTTCATAACGATACTTCTGATATCGATGAGGGTTTCCTCACTTTTGTTAACTGTAGTTCTAATTAACCAGACTACCTCTCTGTAAGTGTTCATCTGTGGAGGCAATCTGGCCCATGCTTTCCTCGCAACTAACTGGTCAGGAATATGTGTTACAGCTGTCCTGTTGCCTGATATAGAGATTCTACCCGGGGATGAGCTTGTCCCCATTCCTAGCCTGGATTACATTACAGGCCGCTCAAAGAGGGCAGTTCAATTTATCCCTTTGTTGGTGGGTCTGGGAATATCAGGAGCCCTGCGTATGGGGACAGCAGGAGTGGGGGACTCTGTTCAACTTTCCAACCAGATTGTTAATGATGTGCAGGCATTATCTAGTACCATTCAGGTCATTCAAGATCAAATAGATTCGTTAGCTGAAGTAGTTCTTCAAAATAGAAGAGGGCTGGACCTCCTGAAGGCAGAACAAGGCGGGATCTGTGCGGCATTGCCAGAATGATACTGCTTTGATGTAAACAAGTCTGGCATTGTTCGAGATAAGATCAAGAGATTGCAGGAAGACCTGGTAAAAAGAAGAGAGTTATCTGAAAACCCCCTTTGGAGTGTCTGGAATGGAATTCTGCCTTATCTCCTATCCTTGCTTGGACCATTGCTAGGGTTGCTACTCTTGATTTCAGTAGGTCCTTGTATAATCAATAAACAAACTCCTTAGACAACCAATGCAGAACAGAAAGCTGATGATGATCCACCAGCAAGCCTATGAGCTCATTCCCCAAAATCACTAACATTCAGCCAAAGCTTTGGCCTCAGTCACAACATCAGAGGGGAATGTTATGGCCTAACTCTAACCAATGTGCCTCTGTCTTGTTCTGTATGTGCCATCTCGATAGGGTTAAATTTCTATTTCTTGTAAAAACTTAAGTTTCAGCTTCTTTTAACTCCCCTACCCGCTTTCTGTATTATGTTATTGCAGGTGTGCTGTTCCGAGATAATGTTTAACCACAGGGTGAGAGTAAGGGAATGCACCAAGAGTTCCAGATGTTATCAGAACTAAGTCAACAGCTTTACAGCTCTGTGGGTTTTTAGCTTTAAATATCCCTCCCTTAGTGTGTTAGGGATACAGTCTCTGGGTCCATCCTGAGGAGGCTGCGTTGCCTGAAATAAAGCCTTTGCTCCCAAATTTCTTGCTTCCTTGGATTTTATTCCAGGGTCCGAGCTATCTCAAATACTATGTTAGGACCGGGTCAGAAAATGTTAGTAAGTTCTTGCCAGGGGTAAAACCTACCGGGCAGATGCCAGCACTGCCATTCAGTGTTGGAAACTGTTTGTAATGGATGGAAACTGTTTGTAATGGATGATACACTACTAGGTGTTCTGAAATACACTAGTAATGAAATATAAGAAATCATTCTATGCACATCGATAGTAACACTCAGAAATCTGATTATCGTGACACCTCACTATCTGCACTAAAAGCCTTCATAACTGGCTCTTTCTAATCATTGGAATCTAAAAGGTTTATGGAGAAGTGACAGGTGTGGCACTGAGATTTTTAGAATAATGACACTCTACAGACTTGGTTACCTTCAAAATTGCCTATGTTTTGATGACAAAAAGACCTGCCAAGAAACAGCAAAGAAAAAAAAAAAAAACTAGACCATTTTGCTGACATTTGCTCACGTGTTGAAAACTTTGTTTTAAACTATCAAGCAACTATAGACCTTTCAAGTACACGAGAATTAATGAGGACTTGGATCATAGTGATGTTTTCAGCAGTCTATGCCATGTGAACTTTCAAAATATGGTATAAAAATACATAGTAGCTGCAGAGACATTTTACATCTTGAGGTTAGGAATTTATCCTGTAATTCACCCTCCAGGTCTTCGCATAGTAATAAATTGTGTGACTTTGTAAACAGACTTGTATCGATTTCAAAAAAGTAACCCAAGTATCCCATTCAACAATTGGTTCATGGGTTATGCACTGTTACATTTATTAAAAGAACACCAGTTGACTAGCACAGGAACTATTCACAAAAATGAAACTGAGATTCCTAAATAAAGTTGCAAGCTCACAATGAGGAAATGTATAGCACAATCTTTGGATTTTAAGATGTAACATCCTACATGGCAAAGAAAATTGAAGTAGTGTGTCTACCTTAGTTAACAGTAGTATTGTCAACATTACACCGGGATAATAAGATTGCTAGTGAGGCTGGGTGTGGTGGCACACACCTGTAATCTCAGCACTTGGCAGGTTGAGGCAGGAGGAGCCTATGAATCAGGCTCAGCCTGTACTACACAGTGAGTTCCAGCCTAGGCTGGACTACCTTCTAGTCAAGAAAAACAAAGTAATATCAATCCTATCATTGTTACACCATGATGATAAGATTGATAATGAGTTCAGGTGTGCTGATGCACACCTACAATCACAGAGGAGACTGAGGCAGGAGGATCCCGGAAGTTCAAGGTCAGCTTGTGATGTATTGTGAGTAGCCTGGACTACACAGGAAGACCTTGTCTCAAAACAAACAGTGATAGTGAATTTTCAACACAAATGAAGCCATAAATGGTTACATTTTACAACAAAATGAAAGAGTAATGTTGACAAATTATGCAGCAGTATATGATGCCACTCAAAACACAAAGCACTGGCCAGTGGTTGTGTTTTACTTGATCCTAAATATGCCAGGCATAGTCTTTATAGTTAACAAACAAAATAGCAGGCAAGAAGTATCCTGGAGAAATTTTCTTAGAGGATTGGAACTGGATGATACACAATTACAGCAAAATAAAGACAGTATACAACTGCCCAAAGAACTCTGCAAAAGAATTCTGAAGCAGACTGGTGAACAGAGAGGTGAAACTTCACGAGAACCCCAAAAGAAAACAGGGGAACCAAGGACTAGGGATTTAGCTGAGCAGCACAGCACCTACCTGACAAGCGCAAGGTCTTGAGTTTGATTCCCTGTGCACATACATGTAAGAAGGGAATATATACTAGGAAAACCAGCAAGATGCCAAACACATCCTACCACAGAAGACAGGAAACAGAAAACACCTGCTGTCAGAGTAAGCCACACTTCTGATTGGCACATGTTGTTCTCATAGTTACATAGTTTATAATATAAACTTACATAGTTTATATTTTATTTTATTGCTGTTTCATTTTCCTGCTAAGCGCACATTGTATAGATTATCTATCTCTGTGGTAGAGTTTTGCTTGTATTCTCATTGCAGCTAACCTAGGAATTTATTTCTGCTGTTACATTTTTAGACCTCGTAAGCAGGTAAACAGTTGGCATTGAAAATGTTGATGCTTATTTTACACACATCACATATTAAAAATTTAATATTTTATTGTACTGATATTTTATTTTCCTGCTAAGAACACATTGTTAGATGTAATAAAGCTCATAGCTGCAAATGCGAGGTCATAAAATTAAAATTAAAAATTCATCAATAGAAATACTCCTAAAAATAAATGTGGGTGTCACTCCCCCAATGCACCTTTGCTAAAAATTTGCCATGATGCCCCTGAGGATTATGGGATACATATAAAACACAGGCAGAGGTACCTGTTGTACTTCCCCAAAAAGGCCCCTGAGGTGAAGAATGGGGCAAAACCCCTGAGATGGAAAAGATGGGGCAGAACGACGTCGTTTTTAGGAAGAAGCGCTTTTATTTTAGCTGGCCCAGCGACACAGTGCAGATGGAACTTGCAAAGCTGTGCAACTGAGTTAGAGTTTTGACTGATTTTTATAGTTCATTTATGATTAGCTCACTGATCATTAAGTACATAGTGATGAGAAACAGAAATAAGGTGAGCCTTTGTTCCTCTTTGCTTGAGGTCAGAGGCATTTCACAGTGGGTGGTTAGCCAATTCATAGCCCTTGGTCTGCCAATTCCAGGAACATTTGTCTCTCATAAAGGGAACAATGGTTGACACAGCATCATTTGTCTCTTACAAAGGGAACAAAAGTTGACATAGTACACAGGTCACTAAGGTGGGGGGATGACGCATTACAGAACAGCATAACGAAGCGGTCAGTTAATTTATAACTATGTGGTTGGTGCTTGGTTACTAGGGTAACGAGCTCAGTACAGAATGACAATATTGCTAATAACTATCTTTTTAATATCTTTTTTGTTAATTATCTTTTAATCAATTGTTTTAATTTTTCAGCATCTTAGTATAACATTACCAAGCTTCATCCTGCTCTTAGTCACCTACCGGGCAGCTTCAGGTCCAGCCTCAAGATAAAATTCCGTTGTCTTAGTCCATTTATCAAGCTTACAGGAATTAGGGTGTCAGCCAAAGGGCTTTGAGAGTTCTGGCTGGGCACTAAACTGATATAAGAAGAGAATAAGGGGGACCTGGGATTTAGCTCAGTGGCATAAGTACATGCCTGGTAACTGTAAGGTCATGTGTTTGATCCCCAGTACCACCAAAAGAAGAGAATAAGCTGGGTCTTGAGTTTCTGGAATGCATGGGCACAACCCCAGGGTAGAAAGAGATGGAGTGGAGATGTGGATAACTTGGGTGACTCAGATCATGCCTATGACTGTACTTTCTCCTTTCTACTTATTTTCCCCTTTATCTTCTGTCCCGCCTCAGTATAATCATGAGTTTGTGATCACGGATATTTTTAAATTAAAATAGGATTAGAAAATACATGTATGGCCGGGCACCGTTCGGGTATACAGCTGTAATCCCAGCACTCGGGAGGCTGAGGCAAGAGGATTGTTTTTGAGTTCAAGATCAGCCTGGGCTACAAAGTCAGCTCAAGGTCAGCCTAAGCTGCATAGTGAGACCCTGTTTCAAAAAGACAACAACACAAAAAGAAAGAAGGAAGTATGCACCCGGCACAGAGTTTTTGTCAATTCCTGTGAAATCACCCTTGGCTGTGGATTATGTTCAGGCGCTGCCTCCTGGTATAATCATATCCACTGTGAGTCACTGTGAAAAGCTCATATATACTTGGAAGCATCAACTCCAGGTGGAAACTCCTCTCCTCTTTTTCTGCCAAGGATTTTACCCCTGTGTCACCTCTTCCACAGTATTAGCTCAGCTCTCCCGGGAGGCGGGCGACTCTGCTGGAGGAATGAATGGTCAAAGTCTCAAAAAAGACCCGCAGGCCAAACACCACACAGGCACAGGAATGAATGGCTGAAGGTTAGGGAAGCTCCTCAGTTCAGCATGGTCTTTCCTCTGCCCAATAAAGTGCTAAGATGAACAGACTTTCTCATGGCAGCCTCTCCTGTTCCTTGCCACCACTGCTCCCCATAACCTGAATAAAAGCGAGAATTCTCATAGCCTTAACTGGGTTGCTCAGGCTGACTGCGTTGGCCCAGGTGAGAAGGAGGGGGAACTTCCTGAGAGACAGAGGGCTCAGACTGGGACAGCCAGAGGCAGAGGGGACGGTTCAAAGTGTCATGGGGGCTGAGGACCCCTGGCCCACCAGTCAGGGTGCTCTAGGGGCAGGCAGCCCTGGACTGAAATCTGTTCTCCACATTTTCTCAATCCCTGTCCGGGTGGAGAGCTGGGGTGTGGATGTTCAGCTCCAACATCTGCACGCCCCGCCTCAGTGCCGTCTGCCCCACAGAGGGAGCTCCTGACTGTGAGAAGAAGGTTGAACCAGCTCACTCCCTGGCCCTCCGTCATAGACGTGACAGAGCGAAAGCCACCTGCCCTGTTTCCTTCCTGCTTCATGCCAGACCAGGACAAAGCCTCCCCTTGGGTTCAGCTGGCATTGTGTCCTCTCCCTCATTTTTCATCCATAGAACCTCTGGGCCCATCAACAGTTCCTTTTGGAACAGCCACCCTGGGCTCATGGTGGGGACAGAATGTCAGGGAAAAGGGGCTACAAGATGGAGGGCTGCCTTGGGTCCAGTTCCATGGGCCCAGGTCCCCGTGTGCAGAGCTGGGGCTGGGGGACAGCTGCCTGCTGCTGAAGAACCCCATCAACAAAGGGATGTACAGGTCTAGCCGGCAAGGGACGAGGTTTCTGCTGTCACCCTGTGGACAGACTGGCCCCTGCCTCCCTTTTCAGAGTCACTCTCCCATGTTGCTCTTTCCCAAGAGCCTCTGACCCCTGCCTCAGCCTCTTCCTTCTCCGCCCAGACGAGAGCTCAGGCTGCTCCACAGTCACCAACCCGAGCTGGTGACCTAGGAAAAGGCGGGCTGTGGCCACCTTGTTGGGGAACCGCGTTACTGCCTATACTCAGTAGGAGCCCCAGATGCAAGTCTCTGGTTGGCTCTGGGGGTTCCTAGGTCTGAACTTGCAGGAGTGGGAGCAGAGGTATGGCTACCAGCCTGGTTCTAGGTGACTCTAAAGTTGACTCTGGTCTATCCATGGATATCTCTCCCCACCAATAGATTGCAGGAGCATGCACTGGCCTTTAGCAGACTGCCCTTTTGCCCCTGGGGAAGAAGCTTCCTGTATTTTGTCCCCTGCACAGGGTTCTCGGGGGCCCCTGGCCTCCCCTACACCTGGCTGCCTTTCCCTGCATACACGTGACCACCGTGTCCAGCAAAAGCAGAGGCCCCAGCTCCCTGTTCTAAGTGGGCCAATGCCCAGCTCTGCACCCAGACACAACTGGGTATCAAGCATTTTGGGGGAAAGTGGACAAAGGGTTTTATCTCCCTGCGCCTCCATTTTCTTCCCTGTGGAAGAGTTAACCAGGCTGGGTGGATCCTTTTGTTTTAAAGAAACAAGAGAGTACACATTTCAGGGCCTGACAGCGAGTATTCACCGAAGTCTGCCTGAATGGCCCTGGCCTGGGTGCTGCCAGGGACTCAGTGTGAGCCAGGTCTTGTGACACCATCACTTTCCTTGGCCCCTCCTGACTTGGACAAGTCTGGGCAGAGCTGGGGAAGCCCTTAGGCCTCGAGTCCACTGTGGTCTCCTGATCTGGCCTGAGAGGTCAGAGAGGGCTTCCTGGCAGAAGGGACATTGGAGATAATATTCAAGGCTGATTGAAGCCCATCACTGTGTCAGCGAGGCTGAGCCCAGAGGGACCAGGCAGAGACCGAGCGGAGGCAGGGGCAGGCAGCAGGCGTGGGTCTCCAGGACTGGAGGACCCTGGACTTTGGCTGTGGTATCAGCATCCGGTCCCAGCAGGGGAGGGGTGTGACCAGACCTACCTCCACAGGGGAAGAAAGGTCCCTTCCTGCCTTCTTCTCCCTTGCACTCCTGGATCCCCCTCTGCAAGCTGCAGGACAGAGCCATTTTGCAAACTGGAGTGGCCACATCTTAGTCTGGGCCAAGTTCTAGAGCTGGTCATAGAGAATTTCGTCTCTTAATGAAGAAACGGAAGGCACATGAGGCGCACTGCACAGTCAAATTTCCTCCTGAAGCGTCCTCATGCCTGTTGAGAGTCCCAGTCCAGGTGTCACAGATCTTTCTTCCCGGGGCCTCCCAGGCAGGCAGGCCGGATAGAAGCGGGCTCCCTGCAGGGCTCCTCCCACCTGGCCTGGCTGAGGCTCCTGACTTACCTGCCCCATCATGTCTTCCCGCCATCGGTCGAGCTCATGTCTGCTGGCAGTGATTTCCTGCCACAGCTTAGACAGGATAGGGCCAGGTATGGCTGTCTCTGGCAAAATCTTAGGTGGGATAGAGGCCAGTAGTGGGAAGAAACTGCAGCTCAACGCTGGGGCTGGGTCCTGAGGAAAGAAGAGCTGGTCCCCTCCTGTCTCTGAATCTGTTTCTCAGGGCTGCTGAGAGCAGCAAAGAGAAAGAAAGAGAGAGAGTGACAGGAAGTGTATGGGTGTGGTTGGGCGTGGTGGCACTATGGACACTGAGAGTCCCTGACTGTTGAGACTCAGGCAGACCTGCGTTCAAATCCTGCCCCTGCCCCTTCTCAAAACCCTTGACATACAACATTGTCCAGTCTCACCGCCAGCCCGTCCAAATTCCAGTCTGTTCTGCCCACTCTGGGGACCCGTCCATCTTCTCCGGGTCAGGGAGGCAGAGCTGTGCAATCTCACCAGGGTCATCAGGTGTTGGAACTCTGCCTTTAGAATGTTCTAGGCCTCTAGGACAGAGTGCATGGTGTTTATAGAAGATCCTAAGCATTTGTTTAATCCACTCACGCCGTTTCCTGGATCCAGGCAGCATGCTGACCCCAGACTGGACTAGAACTCAGGTGTCCAGAGCTGTGGTCCCGAGGACCCAGCTGGCTGAGGTGGGCAGCAGGCCCTGCTCACAGACACCCAGAACTGGGCTCCTAGAAGGTGCAGCCCAGGATGACAAGAGCAATTCCTGCTCTTACCAGTTTGCCCTTTTCCACAGAAATAAAGTGAAAGTCCATTTGCACAGAAATAAAGAGAATGAAAGGTAGTATGAGGGTGTTATTTCCATCCAGTCTCAGAGTCCCTTCCCAGAGACAGGCAGGAATGTGGTGCACAAGTCAGGTATGCCGAAGCAGAGTGGGGGCTCCCCAGGCCACAGACTCCTCTTTTCTGGCTCACAGTGAGGCTGTGTCACTCATTTGGCCCAACCATGTCTCAGGATTTGGGGGCTGACCCTATTCTCTGCCAAAGGGGTTTAGTGACAAATGACAAGATGGTCAGGCCACATCCCTGGCTTGGTTAAACCTCTGCATGCAACAGACCACTGGGCCCCTTGTTCCAGGAGGGCAGGAGGGACAGAAAGGAGCCCAAGCTGTGATGAAGGTCCACAAACTCACCTCCGTTTGCTAAAGCAGCGCCAACTCCGATGAGCCACTTTTTTTAGAAAGTTCTTTCACTGGCGCTTGTTTCCCTGGGGTTGCTCACTGTGTCTGCTCCTAGAATTTCCTAAAATAAGAGCAGACAGCGTTCTTGGAAGCAGGACATGTCTCTGCTCTTGGACACCTGGGAAATCAGCATGAAGGGTCGCCCTGGAGTTGTATGGGAATAGGTGGGGAATGTAGAGTCCCCTGCGGCCAGCAGGAAAAAGTGGGGTTTTGCCAAGTTCAGTGCAGCTCTCGAAGTTTCCTGGGTGGAAGGACAGTGAAAGGACAGAGAAATAAAGATAAGAGAAAATACACAGAAAGCTGAGGTCAGGTGGAGCCCCCTCGCGGCTGGGAGGAAAAGAGCCGCTCAACCACTGCAGCGCATTTATTTTATACATTTTGCAAGTGGGTGTCGCATGACCCTTCTTTGCCTAGCAACCTTAGAATGGAGCAGCTTGTTTGCACAGCTGGCCTCTGGTGCTGTTTGTTTTCAGACAGGCCTCCCCTGGCCCTGGGAGCTGTGATCAGTATCCAGTTTTAAGTGCTTGCCACAGTTTTTCATTTTGAGCTGGGTATTGTACTTGAACATCTGTGTCCTCATTGTCTTGAGCAGCCCATTTGTCTTCTTCTTGATTTAACACCCTGTTCTCTGGTTGGTCTGCCAGTTTATATTTAGAAAAACAATAGCCTGTAAAATCTAGATCTAGCTGTACGTGGTGGCCCATGCCTATAATCCCAGCACTTGGGAGGCTGAGACAGGCGGATCTTTTAAAATTTGAGGCCAGCCTGGGCTACAAAGTGAGTCTAAGGCCAGCGTTAACTGCGTAGTGAGACCTTGTCTCAAAACGACAAAAAAAAAAGTTAGATTCAATGAGCCCAAATATATTCTTAGTTTTCTAGTTTTGACTTTAACATGATACTAAGGTGGCTTGGTTAATGGGGTACTTCTGTGACAAACAGCATCAACACTAGTGTCCTTTAGAGGCATTGAGAGGAAAACCATGGCTTTAATTGGGTTCTTCTAGAATGAGTAATTCCTCGTAGAACGTTCTAGTTCTTTCCAGTGCCTGAGCTAAGATAACTCTGTTCCTTTAGTCCACAGCTGGGTGCCTGTGTTTGTCAGTTTTGCATTACTCTGACAAAATACTCGACATAATCATCTAAGAACAAGAGGGTTGTTCTGGTTCACTGCTTTAAGGGCTGCAGTCCATTGTCACTGGGCTCTGTTGTAGTACTGTACGCTGGGAGTGGGTGTCAGAGGAGTGAAGATCTGCTCACCTCAAGGAAACAAGGGCAGAGGGGAAGTGACCAAAATCCCAACATCTCCTTCAAAAGGAAGTCCTTAAGGATCTGATTTCCTTCCGTTAGGCCCCAAAGCCTTAATGGTTCCACCAGCACCTCATGATGAAGAGGGCAGGTGAGCAAGCCTTCAGCATCATGGGCTTTTGGGACATTCATAGCAATATCTTTATAGCAGCTGCAGTACACTGGAATCCAGCGATCCTGGGACTAACCATCCAATTAAGCCTGATGGGAGTTTTCTGTGTGACCAGTGTGGGGCTGACTCCATGAGCAGTCTCCACATATGAGATGTCAGAGGATCGGAACCAAAACAAAATAACTGGACCCAGAGGGTGAGAGCTGAGGTGTTGGTCCTATTTGCTATCATACAGGGGGAACCCACATTGCAGCCAGAATCTGAAGATGCCAATTGGTTTGGCACCTTTGAGCTTGCATGAGGCAGCAGCTTTCAGAATCTATAAGATAAAACACACTGGAGAAAACAAACACATCTGAAGCCCGTTTAGTTAGGCAATTATCCAGACTGAAGCAGAGATCTGCAAATTCCCCAGGCTCTGTCATTAGCCTGGCTGGAAGAGCAGGACTAACTGGAGTTTGCTGTCCTGCTCCTGCGTAAGAAACTGGATTCTACCTCCCCCGTGTGGCAAGAGAGAGAATACCTACGATTCACAGTCTTCCCTTTTCTCTCCGAGATCCTCCAGGCAGACATGGGACGTCTTCCTGGTCCAAACAAGCCTTTGGTCCCATTCCACAGAGGTAGGTAGAAATAGATAGACTACCCATGAGGTCCTAATGGGAGATGACTTCATCTTCTAGCCAATTCTAGCTGCACCAGAGACTCACTCTCTCTCAGTTCCCTGCATTCTCCTGTTACACTGGCTCTCTGGGTTCCAGGCACCCTAGCCAATCTCCGCCCATAAATAGTAAGTGAAGATTTTCAGAAATGATTTATGCTTTTTTTTAAATTGGTACCGGGGATCGAACTCACCACTGCGTGCTTGCAAGGCAGGCGCTTATGTCACTGAGCTAAATCCCCAGCCCCAATGATTTATGTTTTAAGACTGTGGTGAAATCTAGTACCAGCCCCATCATCTAGTGTACTACATGAATCATTCCTTTGCCCACAGTATCCACACTGTATACACTACCCTCCTGTTAGTTACCTTGTAATTAAGTTATCAAACTGTGCTGGGAGTGTCACAATGCTTATGTCCTTGTTTGCCATGGTTTCCTTGGGTTCAAAACAATTCAGTTGCAATGGTGTATGCCTATAATCTCAATACTCTGGGAAGCTGAGGGGGGAGGATTGCGAGTTCAAGCCTCTTTCAAAGTGTGGTTTGATTAGAATCATCCCTGTAGTTAGTAAATAAATTTTATGCAAAAAAAACCCAAAATTTACTCATTGTGATTTGTGAGTGCGTGATACTGGAGATTGAACCCAGGGCCTTTGACTGAGCAGCATCTCTGGTCCCTTTGTACTTTTAATTTTGAAATAGGGTCTTGCTAAGTACTTATCAGGGGCAATTGTACACCTATTTACAGAAAGGTGATATATTTATATTATGTTGAGTATTCATTGATATCTTTACTATGTTGAATTTTCCAATCCATGAAATCCTGTGTCTCTCCAGTCATTTCCATCTCCTTTGATTTATTTCATCAGAAGTGTATAGTTTTCAGGTAACAAGTTGTAGGCTCATTTTATTAGATTTACATCTCAGTATTTTATGTTTTAAGCAATTGTATTTATATGGCATGTTACTGTAACTGTTCATTGTTAAACACAGAGAAATAAAATTGATTTTTGTATGTTTAGTGTGTGTATTTCACCCTTGCTGAGCTTGCTTGTTCATTCTTAGAGGTCTGATTGTTGCTGTTTGGGATTATCTTGTTAATTATTGTTATTTTTTTCTTTGGGGTTATCTTTTTAATTTTAATTTTTGGTCACATTTGCAGTACATAACGGTCACATTCCTCTGGGGGAGTTGGTCACGTCATAACACATCTTCGTTTCGTTCACCCTCTTTGCCGGCCCTCCATAGGGCCTCTCTTTGTCTAGGTAAACTCCTTAGGATCATCTGTGTGAAAATTATACCCTCCCAAAGAAGAACTACCTATCTTTTTGTTTCCAGTCTTAAGCTTTTTTAGTCTTAATTCTTTGAGGAACTGGCAGCTTGTTTTCCAAAGTTGCTGCACTGCTTAACGTTGCCAGCAGCACCATGGAGCATTATTACATTCTACACATCCTCACCGCACGTGTTACCATCTCGTGTCTTGATTTTAGGAACTGCAGTGAATGTGACCTGCTATCTCATTGTGGTTTTGCTTTACATCTCCCCAGTGACTAATGACGTCAGACAGCTTTTCACTGCTGATTGGCCATTGGTATCTTTCTTGGAGAAATGTCTACTCAGGGCCTTCACTCATTTCTTAGTTATTTGTTTTATCACTGACTGGGTGGCGCTCAATACACATTCTGAATGCAAGTCCTTTTTCAGCTATATCATTTGCAAATATTTCCTCCCATTCTGTGGATTTTTCTTGACTTTCTTGATGAAAACTGTGACATCCAAACTATATTTAGGCAACTGTTATGGTTTAGATCTAAAGTGTCCCTGCAGTTTTTCATGTGTTTGGAAGGTGACTGCATCATGGGGTGCTACACTCACCAGTGGATTCCTCTGTTGACAAGATTGGAAGCCGAATGTGTTTTTAAGAAGTGGGGCCTAGCTGGGCGTGGTGGTGCACATCTGTAATCCCAGCACTGGGGAGGCCAAGACAGGAGGATCTCTATGAGTTTGAGACCAGCCTACACTACAAAGTGAGCTCAAGGCCACCTGCACTGCGTGGTGAGACCCTGTCTCAAAAAGAAAAAAAGTGAAGCCTGATCGGAGGTGGGTCTTTGAGGGGGTGACCCAGAAGGACATATTCTTGTCCCTGACTTCTTCCTTTTCTCTTTGCTTCCTGGCTGCCATGGGTTGAGCACCTTTTCCTCCACCAGACCTCTCTGCCGTCCTGTTTCTGCCCTGGACCCAGCCGACCATGGACTGAAACTGGGAGCCAAAATAAACCTCTCCTCTTTTAAATGGTGGATGTTGGATATTAGGTCCCAGGGATGTGAACGTGACTAATACAGCTACTGTTACTTGTTTTCCTTTCGTTAGGATAGTTACTATTGGAATAAATGGTGAAACCAGTTGTGTGGAATCTGAGGATTCGCTGATAATGATATATGTTAGTTTTCTAACACTTAGATTTGGTAATATTAGGACACCACCTTTGTATGTAAGAATTTTACATAAGGTATTCAGAAGTGAGGTGATACCCATTGTGTGGATGCTCTCAAATAGCTCAGGACAAATATCTCGCAAAAGTGAGCTAATGATAGTTACCTCATGCAGTAGTCTTTAAATGTCTTCAGTGAATTCATGTTTATACATGTAAAACTATTAAAGTCTAGATGGAAGTACAACAAACATAATAGCATTTAAGAACAGAAGATTACACGTCTGTAATCTCAGGGCTCAGGTTGAAGCAGGAGGATCACCATGAGTCTGAAGTCAGCCTGGGCTACCTAGTGAGTTCAAGGCCAGCCTGAACTACATAACAAGACTCTGCCTCAAAAAATTAAAAATTAGGGCTGGGGATTTAGCTCAGCAGCCTAAGTGCCTGCCTGGCAAGCGTGAGGTCGTGAGTTCTATCCCTGGTACCAAAAAAAAAAAAAAAAAAATTAAAAACATTAGGGAAGAAATAGTCCAATGAGGCTACCTTTATCTGCAACAATCTACTGTAATAAAGAAATGTGTGGGGCTAGGGATTTAGCTCAGCAGCATAAGCGCCTGCCTTGCAAGCAGGCAGTCGTGAGTTCGATCCCCGGTACCGATAAAAAAAAAGACCAAAAATAAAGAAAGAAAGAAAGAAAGAAAGAAAGAAATGTGTTCATGCATTACTTGCATAATTAGCTCTCTC